CATGGTTTCGGGTCCGGGGGTTGTTTGAGTTTACAGGTCGTATAGACAGAACCTGGAGCTGTATTCATTTCACCTATTGTACCAGTACCACCACTAGCACCACCACCACTGCCACCACTACCACTACTATACGATGAACGGCCAGTTTGATCACTAACACCACCACTAATGTTTAGGGAAGGTAGGTGCGGATTAGCCGTGTTTTGCTGTTGTTGGTTCAAGTTTACTCACGTAAGTTGTGCTCGTTCATTTGGGTTGGTTTAGGGTTCAGGGCCATTTAGGCCTAAACCCTAAACCCTAAACCCTAAACCCCAAAAGACCTCAACCCTGACCCCTACACACTAGACCAACCAGCCTCCTAGCCCAAGGGCCGGCTGAGGGTCTTGAGCTTTGCGGGGGCTCATTCCTTTCTAAACCTCCCGCGAACCGAAGATGAGTCTCTTTGTTGGATGTCCTTCCCTTAAACAGGCAACTTCGAGCCCTAGACCCTAAAGCCCCACACCCTAAACCCTACACCTAAACCCTAAGCCCTGAACCCTACACCCTACACCCTACACCCTACACCCTAAACCCTAAACCCTAAACCCTAAACCCTAAACCCTAAACCCTAAACCCTAAACCCTAGACCCTAGACCCTAAACCCTAAACCCTAAACCCTAGACTCGACACTGCCTCCTTTGCAGGTTCGGGTTCGCCTGAGAGACGCCTGGCCTGGGGATGCAGGGCCTGGAAAACTTGGCCCTATACTCACATGTGCGGGTTTCCGAATTTTGGGTTTAGGGTTTAGGGTTTAGGGTTTAGGCATATAGACCCCAAATTGTAGGATCCTCTTATAGTAAGGACCCCAATGAGGTACCCCTAGTATCGCAAACCCCCCCACATGTTGTTTATGGTTTTAGAAGAATAGCGTTCATTTGTACCTTTTTTTCTTGGGAGGGGGGGGGGGGTGTCCCTTTAAGAGAATCTCTACTCTTTGGGTTTAAAACAGGGGTAGCCGTATTTTCGGAATTCCCAGTTGTCGTTGCTGATTGTAGAGTATTACCGTTACTTTATTGAAATAAACAGTAAATGAATACACACACATATTATATATATATATATATATGTATGAATACATATATAGATATGTGTGTGTAAGGGCACAGTATATAGAAATATACATATACTACTTTCGAAACGCAATGCCTGACCACAAGCCAAACGTAATGCCTGACCACGGGCCCGATAGATGATAACCTCATCCCCGACCAGCACGGTAGCCAGGCTGAATTCGAGAGGAATTTGCTAATGCCAGCTGCACGAATTGGTCCGAGAGTGGCTCTTCCGTCTGCACGGTTGGACTTAAACGCGCTAAGATACTGAAGGGTTTAGGATATAGGGTGTAGGGTTTAGGCTTTAGGGTTAGGGTTTAGGATTTAGGATTTAGGGTTTCGGGTTTCGGGTTTTGGGTTCATCGGCTTGCAAGAGAGTTTGATCGCAACTGTCTGCGCGATCTTGCTTCAGCTACGTTTGCCGCGGGGCAGAGTCGTGCTGAGCCCCCAAAACCTACATCCTAAACCCGAAGCCCGCAGTCCTAAACCCCCAAAACCATCCCCCATAGACCCCTAAACCCTAAACCCGCCTAAACCCTAAACCCTAAACCCTAAACCCTAAACCCTAAAACCTTGTTTAAAGCGCTAAAGGTCGGGATTCGGGTGTACATGTTTTTTGCCTCCTCCGCTGGGCAGACTGCCAGCAAGGGCCGATGCACGCCCATTGCGCTTTGTGGTCGGTCTCTTTGAGATGGTCCTAAGCAGAGAGAAGAGGCAGAGGTTTAGGGTTCAAGTTGGAGGCTTGGGTTAGGGGTTTAGGGTTTAGGGTTTAGGGTTTAGGGTTTAGGGCATGTAACCCAAGGTTCCCTAGCACTCCCCACTACTCCAGAAGTCTTCCCTAAGCTTGCATAAGGTTCCCTAAATACTTACCGTTACTTACCCCCATGAACCCTCCTTCCTTACGGACCCTATAATTCCAATTGTAGGTCCTTCTGGAACATTTTCTGGAGGGTTTAGGGCATTTATATCCCCAATTATGGATTTACTTCTCATAGCCCCCCCCAAGTCCCCTAAGTAGGCTATAAGTAGACTTGGCAGTGGGGTTATAAGTACGCACCCATGAACCTCCAAGTATTGTTGCACCAGGTACACGAATAAACCCCTACTTAAAGGTTCATGGGCGGTCAGAAGTGGCGTTCTGAGTGGGTAGCTATAAAGCTATAAACCCTACACCCTACACCCTTAACCCTAAACGTGATAGCCCGAATCCAATGTAGGAAGTCATGGGCCTGCTTCTATTTTTCCAGGAGTTTCCAGCTAAACGCTACCGAAGCCCCAAACTCTAAACCCTATAAGCCCGAAGCCCTAAACCCTAAACCCTAAACCCTAAATCCCAGTTTGAGTGGGTGGAACGCGCCTCCAACTCAAAGAGCCGAGCCCTTGGAGTTTTTTTGACACGGCGGGGGGGGGGGGGGGGGGGGGGGGGAGTGAGGGTGAGTGGTTAGGGTTTAGGGTTTAGGGTTTAGGGTTTAGGGTTTAGGGTTTAGGGTTTAGGGTTTAGGGTTTAGGGTTTAGGGTTAGGGCCCTTCTTCGACCCTGTAGCCTAAAGACCCAGGCCTTAAACGCAAGAATGCACACCCCAAACTTTACGGGCTTCTAAACTCTAAGCCCTAAACTCTAAACTCTAAATTCTAGGCTCTAAACTCTCAACTCTAGACCCTAAAAACTAGACCTTAAGACCCTAGCCTGGAATTTATAGGCTTGGAGGCTAAGGGTGTCAGGCCGGATTGTTGCCATCATGGGGGAGTTCCCCACAACCTCCCCCCTTCCCCCCAAGGTTTTAGAGGGCGCTGGTATCTGTAAGGTGCCAGGGTCTCCTAAACCCTAAACCCTAAACCCTAAACCCTAAACCCTAAACCCTAAACCCTGAACCCTGAACCCTAAACCCTAATTCCGCAATTAGGTTTAGGGTTCGGAGTTTAGGGTTTAGGGTTCAGGAAACCTTGGCACCTTATTGGGGTTCTGATATTTGTGGGATCCTACATTTCTAAACCCAAAGCCCTAAACCATAAATCCTAAACCCTAAACCCTAACCCCTAAACCCTAAACCCCAATTAAACCCTAAACCCTAAACCCTAAACCCCAAGCCCTATTGCAAGTTGAGTTTATGGCGCATCCGACTGGGCTCTAGCTACGGCGGCAGAAACCCTAAACCCTGAACCCTATTTTTTCTTTGTGGTGCTTTACTGTAACTTTAGATCCTTAGCTTTTTTGGGTTTATTATTGGGTTTCTTAATATGGCAGCTAAAAACTTGATTTTTAGCTACCCTTCTGAGTGCAGTCAAGTTTTGGGGGTCCCTGATTCTCGTAAATCCCATATGGAGCTCACGCACCCAGTCCAGTCTCCCCGAGTGTCTTGAAGAGCTGAGAGTGTGTGGTGGGTGAGTTTCGGGTTTAGGGTTTAGGGTTTGGGGTTTAGGGTTTAGGGTTTGGGGTTTAGGGTTCGGGGTTTAGGGTTTAGGGTTCAGGGTCCCCCCCCCCCCCGTCGTCCACTGTAGAGTATCGGCTGGAACTTCCCCGAGCCACCAGGCATGCAGCACGACTCGAGATAAGAAGGCCCATAGGGTTCAGGTTTTAGGGTTTAGGGATGGGTTTAGTGTTTATTTAGGGTTTAGGGTTTAGGGTTTAGGGCTTCAGAGTTAACAAAACCTTGAAACCCCTAAAACCACAAACGAATACCAAATGCAAAACAGGACGCACCCAATTTCAGGGTTTAGGGCGAAGGCAATCCCAAGCCAAACCCGAAACCCGAAGCCCTAAACCCCAAACCCTAGGCTCCAGACCCCTATGTAAGTCCCTAAACCCTAAACCCTAAACCCTAAACCCTAAACCCTAAACCCTAAACCCTAAACCCTAAACCCTAAACCCTAAACCCTAAACCCTAAACCCTAAAAGTACCCATGAACCTCCAGGTATTGTTCATTGTTCCACGTGGAGGCTCCTTGTAGAAGTCTCTCGAGTCGTCGTATCATTAGGAACCAAGCAGTGCCCTTTAGGGTTCAGAGGGTTTAGAGTTGTAGGGTTGTAGCGTAGGGTTTAGGGTTTAGGGTTTAGGGTTTAGGGTTTAGGGTCTAGGGTTTAGGGTTTAGGGTCTAGGGTCTAGGGTTTAGGGTTTAGGGTTTAGGGTTTAGGGCTTAGGGAGAGCCTATTCTTGTACGTCTTTGTTATACGGGCCAGAAATTCGCGGGTCCATCACCTAGAGATTTCAGAGTTCAGAGCTTTTTTTGGTTTTTGTTGGGTTTAGGGGGGCTTGTCAGGTCTAGGTTACGAGGATGCCAGGGGCCGGGGAATTTCCCAATTTCTGTGGCTCTCTCGCAGCCGCAGCAGACGAACCATCCTCCGCACGGCAAGCGCCTGGAAAACAGCTTCGTGTGCGAGCTTTTTCTTTCTGTTTTTTTCAGGGTGACCTGCTGACCCCCAAAACCCTACAAGTTGTATACAAGGTTGTAAGCTCTAAACCCTAAACCCGAAACCCTAGTGTACCAAGCAAGACAACCAGAAGCTTGCCACAGCTTTCGAGGAATGGAGGGGTCGAGGAAGGAGCTACTTTCGATTTGCGCAAGCCCCAAATGCAAGAGGACAACTTACAGTACGCTCACGCTCCAGGTGATGATAACTTGTCAACTTCCCGCAAAGTGAAACTGCAGCCGGGCCTTCTGGGGATAGAGCACGGCACCGTTGCTGAACGTCTGGCACTTCAGGGCAGTCAGCAAGGGGAACTACCCCAATCCTAAACCCCCGATGAGGCCCCGGCCCCAACCTCTGAAAGGCCTCAACCCGAAGCAAACCTCAGAAGCTTCACTCCCAAAGCCCTAAGGGTTCATCCTACGTAAGCCGATCCCCCGCAAGCCTACACCCTAAGCCCTATAAACCCCAAGCACTTGGAACTGATCTGCCTGCCCTGGACAGACGCTGCCTCCAAGAAGCACTGGCAAGGCCGTGCGCGGTTTAGGGGTTTTAGAGGTTTACGGGTTAGGGTTTAGGGTTTAGGGTTTAGGGTTTAGGGTTTAGGGTTTAGGGTTTAGGGTTTAGGGTTTAGGGTTTAGGGTTTAGGGTTTAGGGTTTAGGGTTTAGGGTTGGGGTTGGGGTTGGGGCTTCAGGGACGAGGGTTAGGTGTCTGTGGCGGGTCACAAGTTTTGGCGCTGCGGGGGTTTAGAGGTGCAGGGTGTGGGACTCCGGGGTGTCGGGCTTTAGGGCATACCCCTAGACCCGATATCCTAAACCCTAAACCCTAAACCCTAAACCCTAAACCCTAAACCCTAAACCCTAAACCCTAAATATAGGCTTTAGGGCCAAGTGGGCCAGCAGTTTTTGAGGCAGGGGACCCCAGGCCGGGTTCGAAGAGCCGCCCTCCGAACCCTAAACCACCTGCAAAAACCTAGAGTTTGGGGTTTAGAGCTAACTTGGGTTTTGGGTTTAGGGTTTAGGGTTTAGGGTTTAGGGTTTAGGGTTTAGGGTTCAAGGTTTAGGGTTTAGGGTTTACGGCTAACTTGGGTTTAGGGCTCATGGGCTCATGGCATGAGAGCTATGTCCCCCATGTTTGACCTGAGACGCCAAGTCTTGAACACCCTGAGCAATGTCCGCCTCCGAAGTGGTGTCAAAGCAGGATCCTCATAGGTATACTTGTAACCTTCAGTGCCCTACCAGTAAGCCGAAAAAACACCAAACCAAAAAAACCTTAAACGGAACACTCTGTCGGGGGATGGGGGGGGGGGGAAGGGTGGGCAGAAACAGTTGGGTGCAGGTCACGCTCATCGGCACCACAACTACCTATGGCAACTACTCGTTCTTTACCCCTGCCCAGGCCGTGCCTCGTCTTTGTTTTTCTTAAGTTGTTTGACTTAGGGCTTGGTCTTTTTAAGCCGCGTTGTTCGTGCATTGTAGGTTGTAACAGGGGGAAACTTTCCTAATATGGTTCTTCAAAAAGCCTTGTTACAGGGTTCTTGAGGTTTTGGCAGGCTTAGCGGGCAGGATTTTAGGGCTTCTAGGGCTTTTAGGTCTTTTGGAAACTTTAAAGGGTCGACAGGGCGTCGGGTTTTCCTTTGGGTGTTTGGGGCGTATTTTCTGGCTTTCACTCTTTGTCGGTTTTGAAGGCTTGTTAGGGTTTTTGTAAGGTTTATAGAGGGGGCCTGTCGGATTGTCAGAGGGTTAGTGTTGGGATGTTCTCCCTTATACTTATACTAACATTCCTTAATAGGGATTATAGTTGCCCCTACCATAATCCCGATGAAGGACTGTTAGTACAAGGGGAAACATCCCAAGTCCTAACCCTAAACCCTAAACATTATACCCTATACCCTATACCCTAACCCCTAAACCCTAAACCTTAAACCCTAAACCCTAAACCCCAAACCCAAAGCACAATGGCCTTTTAGGTTTTCACGGTGGTAAGAGAGAGGGCTCGGCTCCTTGAGGCCTCCTAGGCTCAACGGCCTGCAGTGGATGGCTTACTCCCTAACCCCAAACCCTAAACCCTAAACCCTAAACCGTCTTAAGATTCCCAAAGGTCCCTCGGTCCCTAAGGTTCCCTAAGGTTCCCCGAGGTTCCCCGAGGTTCGCGAGGGTTCCCTAGATTGTCCTAGGGTTCCCCAAAGTCCTAACATTCCCTAAATTTCCTCAGGTTCCCTAGGTACCCCCCTTGAACCCCCCCTCCCTGAAGAACCCTAGAATTAAGTTTAGGGCCTAGGGTTTCAGTGTAGGCCCCCGGGATGTTTCAGGTTCTTTCTTTCCGCCTTGAGCTTGGGAGGTGTATTATCGTACCTAATCCCTAAACCCCGAAGCGGCCCTAACTACCCTGATCCAAGCATCGAGATGACCACCAGCATCGGAAGTCATGGCAGCAGCATCAGTAGGGCCTACTGAGTATTATGAAATTCCCAGTGTTATTAGCTATCGAATTTCATAATACTCAGTAGGCCAGTGTGGATGTATTTGGATGCATTTGCAGGCTAGGTCCAAACCAAAACCCCCTCTGGCCCCACGACTCCCACGTCCAGAGCCCCTCGGCCCGAGAAGCCGAGAGCCCCTGAGTCCAGAATCCAACTATATATCTGCCGAAGAACCCTAAACATATAATTGATGCTGCCCTTGTAAGGAAGATCCCCTCCTTTTTTTGGGACCCTAACGCCTACAACCTAAGTCCTAAACCCTAAACCCTACTTGGGTTCTCTTAAGCAAGTAGTAGAGCCCCCTGAACCCCCCAAATGAGCTTCGAAGCTCCGACGCCCAGGGTGTGGACCCAGGCTGGAATTGGGGTGAGGGCTTGGGGTTTAGGGTTTAGGGTTTTGGGTTTTGGGTTTTGGGTTTTGGGTTTAGGGTTTAGGGTCTAGGGTCTAGGGTTCAGGGTTTAGGGTTTAGGGTTCAGGGTGGGGGGGTTTGGGGCTTTCTCTGAGCCTGCACGGCGCAAGCGCGGCTTCGGGTTTGAGGGTGCTGGGTTAAGGGTGCGCAAGAAAATGTGCCCTGAAGCTTGAAGACTTGAGGGTGCTTAGAGTCCAGGAACCCTAAACCATTTTAGGTGTATAATAGGGGTCGGAATATTCACTATCCATATTCCCTTACAGTCCCTATATATGTTTATACTAATTATGATAGCCCCCCAACACCCTCTTCTATTGTTAAAGTCCCTATGGTAGAGTTGAGGGTTAACCCTACAGTAAGCCCTAAACCCCAAATCCTAATCCGGAAGATCGAAGCCGTTTTGGGAGTTGTGACTGAGGATTGATGAGAAGCCTACACCAGAAACCCTAAACCCGAAACCCGAAAAACCCGAAGCCCCAGACCCTACACTATCCTACGCCCTGCAACCCTAAAACCCTAAAACCCTAAACCCTAAAAACCCTAAACCTTAAACCCTAACCCTTAAAACCACTATCCTGAGCCCTGCAACCCGGTAGGGCTAGGGCTTCGGCTGCTCCATGTCCCTTGGCCCAAAGGGCTCCCAGGAATGCTCCTTAGATTCTTGGTAGCCGAGTGGTACCCTTCTGCCCTTGTTGTTTAGGTTCCCTTATAAAGTGACCAACAACCAAAAGCGCGTACCCTTATTACGATATGGCTCCTGGGCGACCAAGGATGGCAATCCTAACATGATTCAAGCAAATCTGTCCTTAAACCCTAAACCCCGAACCCTTAACCCTTAACCCTAAACCCTAATCGCTGGGCAAGCCCTTCCAGCCCAGCAGGCGAAACCTCTGAGCCCTAAACCTCTCAAAGCATGCCTGAAGTTCAGGGTCTAGGGGTTTAGGGTTTTAGGGTTTAGGGCTAGGGTTTAGGGTTTAGGGTTTAGGGTTTAGGGTTTAGGGTTTAGGGTTTAGGGTTTAGGGTTTAGGGTTTAGGGTTTAGGGTTTAGGGTTTAGGGTTTAGGGTTTAGGGTTTAGGGTTTAGGGTTGCGCCTCATAGCCCTCTGAAGCTGCTGCGGAGGCGCCCTTCCGCCCCAATCCCCTGCGCCTGGTGCCCCTGCCGCCGTCACGCCGGGAACTGCCGGGGCCTCCCACGGGGCTTTTGGGGTTTCGGGGTGTTTGGGGGTTTAGTTTAGGGTTTAGGGTTTAGGTTTTAGGGTTTAGGGTTTAGGGTTTTGGGGCTTTTGGGGTTTTGGGGTGTTTGGGGGGGGGGGGGGGGGTTGGGGTTTTGGGGGGTCGTGGGAAGGTTTTGGGGGTTTCGTTTAGGCTATCGCTTTGAGGGGCTTTGGGGGTTTAGTTTAGGATTTGGGGTTTGGGGTTTAGGGCTTAGTGTTAGGGGTCTAGCTCATCCTTTTGGGGAGAAGCGTCGCATTTCAGAGAAGGAGGGCCAGAAGTACATAACTCGTTTTGGGGGTCCAGCATAGGAAAGTCTCCTGCGGGTTGAATCCAGCAGCCCTGAATTCAGGAATATTCCAAAATAGACTTGGACCTCGACAATATCTTGACGGGAATTAAAGGGGTATAGTATTCTGGTCCACACCCTAATCCCGAAACCCTAAACCACCCTTTCAACTTCAGATGTCAGTGTTCAAGGGTTGGTCTATCTCCTCTGCAGCCGACACATTCAGCCTCGACACTCCCTAAGTACACATGAGGGTGATGGTTTAGGGTTCAGGGTTTAGGGTTCAGAGTGCAGGGTTTTAGCACCCCAAACCCCTAAACCCTAAAAAACCCTTCACCCCAAACCCTAAATCCTAACCCCCCCCCCCGCCCCAAGCCCCAAGCCATGCGTGGACCGAGGTCTCTTTGCCGATGCCAAGCGTCCACATCTCAGCTCCACAGCCCATGATCTGAGTCCACGCACAGGGAGCTTCCGAGCCCATGTGTTTCAGGGCTTGTTTCCTGTTTCCATGGAACTTGGGTTTGTGTGAGTATATACATATATATATATATGTATATATATATATATGATTGCGTTTAGCGTGTCAGAACCCCTGACCCACCTACCCCCAGTCCATGGTATCCCCACCCCCACCCACGCCCCCCTCCGTCATAAACCCAAACCCGTCACCCAAGCACTTTCTCCTATCCCCTATACCGTTAGCCGAAAACCCACAGCCGTAAACAAACCCTGAAAGAACCGTAGACCAACAAACGAAAAAACAATGGGGTGCGAGGGGAGGAGGGGGGAGGCTTGGGGTTTAGGATTTTGGTTCACGACATGGGGCGGCTTCGAATTTGGGATTGTGATGTTCTTCGCTCTTGAGCAAGTACTCAGGGGCCAACCGAATAAGGGACCATCACTGGCCCTTGGCCCTGAACCCTAAGCCTTAAAGATATCTTGAAGCCCCTATAAAACATGCAAACCATACGGTTTAGGGTTTAGGGTTTAGGGTTTAGGGCTTAGGGCTTAGGGTTTAGGGTTTAGGGTTTAGGGTTTAGGGTTGGGTTTAAGCACGGGAGACTAAGCAAGCAACATCAACATCTCTGGGCCGCACCCCTTCCGCAAGGCCACAGCGACCACGATGCCGGCACCCTTGCAGCATTCAATGGACTGAGGGGTTCAGGGTTTAGGGTTTAGGGTTTAGGGTGTAGGGTTTGGGGTTTGGGGTTTAGGGTTCCACTCCCCCCAGGTGCCCCCCATACTTCCCTCCTCTTAGGGTTCTACCGAACGGCCCTCCACCCTAAACCCTACACCCCCATCTTCGCTGGTCTCTCTGGCACCTCGCATCTCAGAATGCCAAACCCCATGGCCCGGAGTTCAAAACTTGTGAGGCCTTTGTGATGTAAAGTTAGGCTTTGGAGCATAGCGCCAAGTTCTTTAGGGCTTTAGGGGTTGAGGGTTCAACCAGAACGAGACTTGGCCCCCCTAAACCATCAACCCGACAACCACAAACCCCGAACGGCCTAAACCCCTTTCTCCCTTCAACCCCTACAAAACTCTAAGGTCGGCAACATGGGCCCCTTAGTGTATGGGCCCCTATGATATGAAGTGTCTATGAGGGCTATTTGACAAGGGACCCAAATTCAGGGCCCATACTCCCTAAATTCCCTAAATTCCCTAAATTCCCTAAATTCCCTAAATACCCTAAACCCTAAACCCTAAACCTTATAACAAAACCTGAACCCCTTGTGACTTCCCTTAAAAGCCACTCCATGATCCCTCGGAGCCTCTTCAATCCCCTTTACACCCCTTGAAGACCCAGGGTTTAGGGTTCAGGGTTTAGGGTTTAGGCCCCCAAGCCCCAAACCCTAAACCCTTGACGCTCAATCCCTTGGCCCCGTCCCAGTAAATCTAAGCATTTACCCCCTTCTACGACCTTAGCCCCTGCCGTAAACCCTAAACCCCAAAACCCCTAGACCCTTACCCGCTCTCGCACCCCGTAAGCCCTGACTTGATACCCTTTTACCACTGTATCCCCTAAACCCCTACCCTTTAAACCCTGAACAGCCCCCCCTTTTTTACCTAACACCCCCTCTTCTTAAACCCTTCAACCCGAAACACTATTTCAAACCCCTTTGAACCCAAAGCCCTAAACCCCTAAGCCCTCTTAACCCCCCCCCCCCCCCAACCCTTGAAACCCTTGAAACCCTTGAAACCCTTGAAACCCTAAACCCTAAACCCTAAACCCTGAACCCTTTCGCCCTGGAAGGCCCTGGCTTCGGTCAAGCTGCCCACAGCTGCAGGGTCCGGCGGGCCTTGAGTTTAGGGTTTAGGGTTTAGGGTTTGGGGTTTAGGGTTTAGGGTTTAGGGTTTGGGTGGCCGGGTTTTCCGGGTTAGGGTTTAGGGTTTACGGTTTGGGGTTGAGGGTGTTGGGGTTTAGGGTGTAGGGTTTAGGGATACAGTTGTTAAGGCTTAAGGGTTAGCGTCGAGGGTTGAGCATTTCGGGATGCAATTGAGAGGCAATATCACAAATCTCTGGAACATATGATTGTTCCTGCGAACCCAAATTTGCCAGAGATGTATTCACAGTCTGTTCACGAGGTAATTGGCAACCCTCAGATCAATTCTTGGGCCGGTTTTCTGTTCAGCCGGCAACCGGTGTTTGGGATTGTTTAGGTTTTCCTCCTGCTGCTGCTGCTGCTGCTGCTGCTGCTGCTGCTGCTGCTGCCGCCGCCGCCGCCTCTGCTGCCGTTGTTTTGCTTGGCTTTGCTAGGCGTGCGCAGTCGAGCCCAATAATGATGCTGCATGTCCTTCTATCAACATGCTTTAGCGCTAACCCCACTGAGCAAGGTTTTGCCAGCCTCCCGAACCTTGTAAACGCATCCTTCAACTGAATCCGTCAAGCCTCTAACCCTATGCCCTAAACCCTAAACCCTAAACCCCTAAACCCCTAAACCCCTAAACCCCTAAACCCCTAAACCCCTAAACCCCTAAACCCCTAAACCCCTAAACCCCTAAACACCTAAACCCCTAAACCCCTAAACCCCTAAACCCCTAAACCCCTAAACCCCTAAACCCCTAAACCCCTAAACCCCTAAACCCCTAAACCCCTAAACCCCTAAACCCCTAAACCCCTAAACCCCTAAACCCCTAAACCCCTAAACCCTAAACCCTAAACCCTAAACCCTAAACCCTTGCCAGGATGATCCACGGCCAAGTCGGAGTCCAGGTCGGCAACGTCCGGCGCATCCGCTGACCGAACGGGCCCGAAATTTAGGTTTAGGGTTTAGGGTTTAGGGTTCAGGGTTCAGGGTTCAGGGTTTAGGGTTTAGGGTTTGGGGGGGGCAGGGGGCAAGTTTTGCTTCGCGCTTTTCCGGAAATCGGTTCATCTGTGCTGGCCCGCATACGAGCGAACCTGCGGCACGATTTTCCCCGTGGATCTTGCTCACGGCCGTAGGTGCACACCTCCGCGAGGCTAGCACCAGCGTTTCACCTGTAGAGTTGTTAGGAAGGCTCCCGGGCGAGGTCATTCGTAGCTTCCTTTAGTGGGTTAAGAGAGAGTCTTGCCGTTTTAAAGGCTTGAACGGGCCTACCGAGGTTACAGAGAGAGAAGGGGGCGGAGCTTCATGCTTGCCGTGGCGTCGTCAGAACCCAGGAGAGATCGCGCTTTGTTTCCCAGGGTTTAGGTTTAGGGTTTAGGGTTGTCTCAAGAACTGTGAAATACACAGCACATCGTTTTACGAACCGAAGCTGTACGTGAAGAAGCGGATTTCAAGGTATCTGTTACAAGAGGACCCTGACTCGAATAATCCCTCCCCTGTAGATCTCGGTCTCAAGAATTGTGGCTAGCCCGAGAACAACTGCATTACTTCATGAGTCTTGTTTTAGGGTTTAGGGTTTAGGGTTTAGGGTTTAGGGTTTCGGGTTTAGGGTTTAGGGTTCCAGAACAACTGCATTGCTTCATGAGTCTTGTAGTGGAAGCCCCCGCCCCCTTTCCATCTCAATCGTTTTGCGCAGAACAGACCGTTCCAAACGGTTTGCCATCGCGAGAAAAGAGCCCTAAACCACAAGCCCTAAACCCTAAACCCTAAACCCTAAACCCTAAACGCTTTATCCTAAATCTAACGTCTTCACTTAGACGAATGTGAGCACATCGACCCTCCTCCGTAGACCCACACCCTAGAACCCTGGCTCTAAACCCGAACGCCCTAAAACCCCAAAGCCCTATCTAGGGTGCAGGGTTTAGGGTATAGGGTTTAGGGTTACGGTTAGAAGCCGTAAAGCCCCAAACCCCAGATCCGAAGCACACGGTGCGCGTGTGCCGTCGGCGGAGTCCAACGGCAGCAAGCGCATGCACCAGCTCATTGACCCTAAACCCTAAACCCTAAACCCCTAAACCCCAAAACCCCGAAACCCCGAAACCTCGAAACCCCTAAACCCCTAACCCCTAACCCCTAAACCCTTAACCCTAAACCCTAAACCTAATTCCCTCATTCCCTACTAAGAACCAGTAGGCAAAGTGCCAGGCCCTGCCCCTGAGCAGAATTAGGCTTCCTCCAACTTCTATGCACCCTAGACGGTTTAGGGTTTAGGGTCTAGGGTCTAGGGTTTAGGGTTTAGGGTTTTGGGTTACTCCCCTAACCCTAAGTAAGCCCTATACACAAAACCCAACACCCTATAACCCCAAAGCTGAAACCCTCAGCTCTACACGTTTAGGCCCCTACCCCCCTACCCCCCTACCCCCTTATCCCCCTACCCCCTACCCTACCCCCCCTACCCCCTACCCTACCCTAAACCCTAAACCCTAAGCCCTAAACCCTAGACCCTAAACCCTAAACCCTACACCCTAAACCCTAAACCCTAATGCCAGGAACAGCCGGCCGACCTCACCGAAGGCCCCCGGTTCGGAACTTCTCTAGGGTTTAGGGTTTAGGGTTTAGGGTTTATGTTGAGGGTTTCCTAACCCAGAATGCTTCTGCCCCTAAACCCTCAACCCTAAACCCTAAACCCTAAACCCCAAACCCTAAACCCTAAACCCTAAACCCTAAACCCTAAACCCTAAAACCCTACTGTTGTGCTCCTGCCATCCTCTTTGGGCACCACATTGCTGGTGCCTTCATCCCTAGAAGCTGAAGGCCCCGGTGTCCGCCCGGGGGCTTAGGGTTTAGGGTTTAGGGTTTAGGGTTTAGGGTTTAGGGTTTAGGGTTTAGGGTTTAGGGTTTAGGGGTTTAGGGTTTAGGGTTTAGGGTTTAGTGTTGAGGGCGACAAGGCCTACTTTGCAAGCCCACACAAGCCCTTCCTTATTAAGCCTCAGCAAGGGAATATAGCCTCCTTGCCCGCCCCGTCCCTTACCCCCACAAAAATCCTTGTGAAGACCACCTATAGCCAAGGCATGTAAATATAGCCCTAAACCCCAAGACTTATAGTCAAGGCATGTAGATACAACCCAAAACCCTAAACCCTAGACCCTCATACCACATATAAGCTGCAAGTAGAACCTTGCTTGTAATCCAGAGCCTCGCTGTGCGGCAGGCAGCAAAGCACGCGTGGGCCGGGTCAGCGCGGCAGAAATTTAGGGTTTAGGGTTTAGGCCCCCCCCCCCCCCCAACCCTGCTTGGAGGTTCATGGGCACCGATAACCCCAAATGCGGGTTTCCGAAATTAGAGATACCTCATTGCGGTCCGTATTATGAGGGGCTCCTACTCCTACTATTTTGGGGATCTATTTTGCGCAAACCCGCTAAGTGCCCTCAGGCCCTAGGTAGGTTATAAGTAGACTTGTAATTGGGGTTGTAAGTGCCCATGGACCTCCAAGTGCACCTCAATATCCCTAAACCCCAATTAGACCCTAAACCCTATATCCCTGAACCCTATAAACCCTATAAAGCCGGGGCTTTATATCTCTTCGGGCTTTAGGGCTAACAGGGCCCAGGGTATGAGGCTTAGGCGATTGGGTCGCGCCATACCCCTAAACCCTAAACCCTAAACCCTAAACCCTAAACCCTAAACCCTAAACCCTAAACCCTAAACCCTAAACCCTAAACCCTAAACCCTAAACCCCTTGCTAAGGACCGGCTGTGGAGTTGTCAGGGCTTATGATGTAAGGGTTTACAGGGTTCATAGGGTTCAGGGGATGTTCAAGGGCTCAGAGTTGAGGATGTTGGGGCGTCCATCTCCCGTACTTAGTTAGGTTTAGGGTTTAGGGTTTAGGGTTTAGGGTTTAGGGTTTGGGGTTTAGGGTTTAGGGTTTAGGGTTTAGGGTGGTTCTTCTCAGCTTCTGTCTCGCCCTTGCTTCTCCCTCACCCTCTCGCCTGTTCTAGCACTCCCTCGTCTCTGCTTCAGACCCAAACCCCGAAGCCCCTCCATCCCGAGCCTGCGGTCGAACTTGATACCTTGGGAACCAAATGAACCCTAAAATTGGGACCATGTACCCTACACTGCTATAGTCCTTCTTGGGGTATATGAACCATAAACCCTTTTAGGGTTCATTTGGTTCTCAAGGGTAGGCGTCGCGCTGCACGTGCGTGGAAGGAAGAGTGCCCAGGCTGATGGAGAGCGAGCGGGCCCCCAGGGCGGGGGGAACGCACGGGCAAACGGCCCTGCATGCAGCCGCGATGGCAGAAAACTGCCGTTTTTCAAGGCAGGACCTGCTCCAGATAATCTGGGGGCCTGAATAAAATTTGAATAGGGTTTTGGGGGGTCATTCTAGTGCAATTATAAGGGGACCAGAAGAAGGGAATACTATAGGTAATTATTCCGACCCCTATATTCCAGAAGGCCATGGTTGCAGGACGAGTTCACGACTGCAGCTCCATGAGTGCACTTGAGATCGCGCTGTCGAGCGATTTTTTCTGTCTGGCGACCTGCTACGCGAATGCACTGGACGACCTGGCGAAGTCACAGTTGCTGTATCCATGCGGTTTAGGGGCTTAGGGCTTTAGGGGTTTAGGGCTTAGGGTTTAGGGTTTAGGGCTTCCTGGAGAAGTCCACCCAGGTTTTGTTTTTGACCAAGCTTTCATTTTCCCTGTGTCTGTTTCAGCTCTTTTGTGGATATCGGTTTTCTTTAGGCTGATCCCCTCAGTTCCTGATGAAGCACAGAATCCCATGAGCTTCATGGTTCATTTCCGCAAGCCTACAAATCATCCGTCAACCCGTTAACATTGAGCTTTCAGCCTTCAATCCCTGAGTCCTCTGCAAAACCACCATGAGCCGTATAGATCCTTGAACACTTTACCAATCTACAGCTTCCTGAACCCTTAACCTCCTACCTTAAACGTAAGACCCTGAAAGCATTCAGGGTTCAGGGAGCTGACCACTTTACCTCAAACCCTAAACCCCAAATCGCTAGACCCAAACCTTAGCCCCGAAGCAACCCTACCCTCGGTTCTAAACCATAAAAACCCTACCCCAAACCCACAACCCGCAATCCTAAACCCTAAACCCTAAACCCTAAACCCTAAACCCTCTGAGCCTCTCGGTTCTAGAGGTGAACCGGCCTTTTGGGCAGCGGCAGCAGCCGCTTCAGATGCTGCCCGAGGAGACGCGGAAGGAGGCTCCCGCACAACGGGGCTTCGGGCTCTGGGCTTGCTAGGGTCTAGGGTTTAGGGTTTAGGGCTTAGGGCTTAGGATTTAGGGTTTAGGGTTTAGGGTTTAGGGTTTAGGGTTTATTAGGGTTAGATCTCAAACGGTTTAATTCTGCATTTTCAAGAGCGTCTAGGGCTTTTGGGTTAATGGGTCCATGTGGGTCCGGCGCCTGGGCGGAAATTGCAGCGTTTTTGGTTCCCTAAAGCCTAAACCCTAAACCCTAAACCCTAGGGCTTAGAGTTCAGAGCTGAGGCTTTGAAGAGCTGGGTTAAAGAGCTTCGAGGCTTCCATGGGCTGAAGAGCATCTAGGGCTCTCGGAGCCAAGGGAGGTTTGGGGTTTTAGGGATTAAACGGTTTAGGGTTTAGGGCTTGTGTCAGATTTAAAGCGGCAGGGACTATTTTAGGATGGGGGGGGGGTTGGGGAACCGATCTGGCAGCTGGTTATTGTGAGGGGCCCATGCAGGGCGGTTTGTGTAGGATTCAGGCTCAGACAACAAGGGAGTTGAGGGTTGAGGGGTTCGCGGGTCAGTTGACGATTGTAAGTGCTGTACTCAGTACTCGCTTCTCTTGCTCATTGTTGTCCACGGTTTCCTGGACCCTATACCCTAAACCCTACAGCCGCACATCTTAGTTTGGGAAGGGGAGGGGTCGATGGCGTATTTGGGTGCATTTACTAGGACCCAGAGTAGGCCGGCATTCCTCTTTTTTTGTGGCTTAGGTTCCCTCGTAGGACCCTGTAAACCGAAAAGTGCACCCTTTTTATTCAGGTTGCTCTTGGGTCCCCACAGCCCCAAGCCAATACACTCCATAGTCCGCCGAAGCACTTTTGCCCAACGCCACCCATAGGGGAAGGTAAGTCATGAGCTTATAGACAATTGAGCTACGTATCTTGCTCACGAATAGTTCACGAATCCACTCCCATGATTGCCGTTCCTGAATGTCAGCACCGACGATGTCGGAGAATGTTGCGTGCCTCAGGGCTTAGGGTTTAGAGTTTAGGGTTGTCACTATGCTTTTCTCAACCCATGGTCACACCCGAAAGCACACACACACAAGGCATGGTGTTTAGGACGTCTGGATTTTGGACCTTTGTGAAATCAGCGAAGTGATCTACAACCATCGGCTTTTAAACTCCGACTCCTAGCAGCCATGTGGCGTCGCGTGGCGCAGCCCCTGGCCGCCGCGGCGCTGCCGGCGGCCGTGGCCGTGCAGCGGCAGGGCGCGCACTGCGCCAAGACAGAACTCTTGCTGTCGGCTTTTAGGGTTTAGGGTTTAGGGTTTAGGGTTTAGGGTTTAGGGTTTAGGGTTTAGGGTTTAGAGTTTAGGACTGAGGGCTGAGGGTTTAGGGAGTTCTGGTTCAGGGTAGGGAGTTGAATTGGGGTTTAAACCCCTAAACCCTAAACCCCAAACCCTCAGGTTGTGGGGCTTTAGGGAGCCCGTGAGGGCAGGCTAAGTTGGCTGAGGCACTTCAAGCTCGCCATAGCTCGCCTCTCCCCACCAAGGAAATTACACCCCTTGCGCAGGGGGGTCCAGGGTGTGGGCGTTAATTAGGCCTTGGGGTTGTAGGGCTTCTAAACCCGAAGCCCGAAACCCTAAGCCGCAAGCCGTAAACCCTAAACCCTGAACCCTAAACCCTAAACCCTATAAGCCCTAAAAGGGGCCAAGAGCGCATCCCCTCTCACGGTCGATCGGCTAGATGCTAGCATCCTAAGCCCCTAGGGTTTAGGGTTTAGGGTTTAGGGTTTAGGGTTTAATTAGGGTTTAGGGTTTAGGGTTTAGGGTTTAGAGGAACAAGCCCTTTGACCCCACTTCTGACACATTCGCCCCCAGATCCTGAGACGAGGTGAGACCTGGTCCAACAAGAAGAAAGGCCGGCCGCCCTTTGCCAAGTTACCCTAAACCTCACATAGGGCAAACCCTAAACCCTAAACCCTAAACCCTAAACCCTAAACCCTAAACCCTAAACCCTAAACCCTAAGCCCGAAAGCCGTAAATTGTCCCGAAGCCTGGAGCCCCAGATCCTAAACCCGAAGCTCGAAGCTTGACAACTCCCGAAACCTAAGCCCTAAACCTAAACCCGAAAGCCTCGTGGTCTGAGGCTTTGGAGGGGTTTACGCCCTAAACCCGGAACACTAGCCCTAAACCCTAAACCCTAAACCCCAAACCCTAAACCCTAAACCCCAAACCCTAAACCCTAAACCTGACACCTGCAACCCTGCGCCAGGCTGTCCTACAGCACATCCAGTGCAGCCGAAGTCGCCCGTGCCCTCGGACATCGACATCGCCCAGTCGGCCCCCCTTCACCGAATTTCTTAAGGGTTTGGGTTTAGGGTTTAGGGTTTAGGGTTTAGGGTTTGGGGTTTCGGGTTTAGGGTTTAGGGTTTAGGGTTTAGGGTTTAGGGTTTAGGGTTTAGGGTTTAGGGGTGGGTTGAGGTTGTGATTTGAGAGTTTCGGGTACGGAGTTTAGATCACCACCCAAGCCACACATCCATCACGTGCCCCCTAAGCCCCCCCACCCTGAACTCTTGAGCCCTGAAACTTAAGGATCTAGGGTTTAGGGTTTAGGTTCTTGGGTAGGACCCTAAACCCTAAACCCTAAACCCTAAACCCGAAGCCCTAAACCCTAAGCCCTAAACCCTAAACCCTAAACCCTAAACCCTAAACCCTAAACCCTAAACCCTAAACCCTAAACCCTAAACCCTAAACCCTCCCCC